CAGATGCACCCACTCTGTTTTGGATACAGAAGCAGACCGCCTGTCTTGTATCCCGTTATTATCTAGTGCTTGGAGGCAGAGTGCTAAAATGAGCTTGCTATTTAGGGAGGTAAACAAAATGTTATTGTTTTACTGTCGTAATGCTACTGCTATAATTGCCGGCTGGTGGGTAACGAGAGCTTCAGCCTGTGCTGTGCTGTGGCTGCTGGGAGCAGCACCCCAGGTGCTCACTTTTTTGTGTTGTGGGTGCCTCTTGGAGAATTTGGTGGTCAGTGTGGGTTGTTACCCCTATACCTGTGATGTACTGGTGGGGAAATTTGCCTCTTGTGATGGCTGAATCTCAGAAAACAGCCTGAGGAACAGACATCCCTCATTGCTACTCAGCAGTTCTCAAATATTTGGTGCTTTACTGTCTTCCATTTCCTGTTGACTCCCTTCTTTTTCAACGTGGGTTTGAATGATAGATTCAGACATTGTCTTACCTCTATGGAGTCAGCTTCTTTTCCCAAGTAACAGTAATAGAGCAAGAAGTAATGGCCTCAAATTGGTCAGGGGAGTTTCAAGTTGGATATGAAGAAAAAATTATTCTCAGAAAGAGTGATGATGTACTGATACAGGCTGCCCAGGGAGCGGTGGAGTCACTGTCCCTGAAGGTGTCTGAGAACCGTGGAGATGTGGCACTGAGGGATGTGGTTAGTAGGCATGGTGAGGGTGGGCTGGGGTTGGACTTGGTGATCCTGGAGGTCTTTTCCAACCTTAATTATTCTATGGTTCTGCAGTTTAGATGCTATCAAACAGTTCTAGAGGATAAGATGTGTGCATAGGATGCCAAGGACGCCTTTCTAAGACAGTCAGGGTCAGGGCATGGTGAAGGTAGCTGAGCAGCCTTGGGGCGATGGAAGAACACATTGGAGAGATGGTGACAGAGAAGAAGTAGGGAATTTATGGCCTGAATTTGTCTCCCGTCCTAGTGTGTTGAGTATATGTATCTCCTAGTATATGAATCCAACAAATCCTATCTTTGCTTGTATCTCCATTAGGTGTTGCAAATCTATGGCTTTGGGAGATGTCTTTGTCTCAGGACCTGGTCCATACAACAATAAAGATCTTTCCGTGCTTAGCTGGGTGAGGATAATTCCTCAGTGGTTTGCAGTGCTGGCCTCTGCTGGGTGCTGTGGAGACCTGTTGTATTTTATGTAGAATTTTCTTTTTATGTGATACCTATTTCCACGAGTCCCTGACTTCACTTTTCATCCCACCTCGGGAAGCAAGACTTGCAGAACTTACAGGCTTTGTGGGTCTCTAATGCTCCTCTGTGGCCATCCCAGAAGTTATACTTGTTTATATCTTGAGTGAGTTTGTCTTCCGTACGTGTGTCTCAGCCCATCCACCCTGAAGAGGATGCTCAGCTGGTAGAGGGGAGTTTTCCATCTTAGCGCAGAGCTGCAATTACAGAGGTGACCAGAGAGAAAAGACAAATGGGCATGCACCACTGCCTTTAATAGAAGGCAGTGATTCTTCTGGGCTCCGGAGTAATATGGGAGATCTGGTTTTAATAAATTAACAGCCGACAAGTAACAATCTCAAGCAATTAAATTCTGGAATGAAGGCAAGTACCATGAAATGTATTCTGGAGCTGATGGAGAGTGGAAAAGACAATCTCCAAGCAGTGCAGAAGGCAAAACTAAAATAAAAATGCCCCAGAGAGAGGGGTGAGGTCCGCTCCTGTCTTGTTTCTATTATGCATGTATTTGGGCATCTCATTTTGCTCCCCATCACCTCTCCTTCCTCTGCTGGACTCTGGGGATGTGATTTGGAGCCTCACTGGGGTCATCCAAGTCTCCAGATCTCCATCATCTTCATACTTCCAATTGTAGGCAAGGGAGCGCTCATGGTTAGGAGGGTATGGCTGATGGAAGAGATGGGAAGTGTCTGGGAGCTTCAGAATGGCTAAAAGATGAGGAGAGGAACAAATACAAAATAAACCAGCTAAGCCTCCCTGTCTTACATTAATAGGCTGTATGGAATCCGCTTTGCCATAGAATTCAATTTATTTCCATTTAAAGGCTGTTCTTCTCAATCAATGCAGCTAATAAATAGCTGCTGATGGCCATGACCCCCAGGCTGAGGGAAGAATTTATCTTCTGAGCCAATTAAAGGAATTGAACAATTCCTTTTAATAACGCTATGGGATTTTATATTAAAAAAAAACGGAGAGAGAAAGAAATCCTCCTCCCGAGCCTTGCAGAAAAGAGTCAGGTGGGCTCTAGGAGAGTTTCATGCTTTAACTTGCCTTGTGAAGCTTGTAGGGAAACTATAGCATTCCTTGTGAATGCAAAGGAATGCAATTTTTTTAAATGATATGTAAAAAAAAAAAAAAAGAGAAAAAAAAAAAAAAAAGTAAAGGCAAATTATGTTCCTTTCTTTCCAGGGCTGTAAAGAGTTTGGAGTGAACAGTGAAGTTCTGCAATGTGGTGTGTGATATGAATGTGTCAGGTCAGCCGTGATGACTCGCGCATGGAAAATGAGGATTTATCTGCATGTTCCGTGGGTGTGAGGGCAGTGGGACCCAAAGCATCAGAGCCTTTGGCCTCTGGTGTATCCTCACTCTTAGCGCTAAGGTGAAACTAGACTTTCCATTGCTTCTTTTCTATGATTCACGTGACTTTATTTTAGTGGCAAAAATCCAGATTGACCTCCTTTCTTGTGGAAGCATGGGAAGCATCCTACGGGCTTTGTGGGTTCCTAAATCTGGCACTGGAGCTACAGAGTGGTTGAGAGAGTGCGTGTACCTCGGAAAACAGACAGGTGCAAATGAGGTGGTGAGGAAAGCTGAACAGATACCTAGTCAGTTTTTACGAAGCTACATAACCCCAAATGGCAGCAGGTTTTCTCCACTCCATCACTCTCCTGTCAGTGAAATCTCATGACTCCTGTTGGCATCAGGTGAGAGCATCTGTCAAACACACAAGTCTCCTTCAAACGCTGCTGTGCTTTAGGGAAGTCTCTTATCTCCATTTTACAGATGTCAAGCAGAGGCACAGAGAGGTTAATTGACTTGCCCAAAGTCAACATGGGAGGTCTAGAAGTGACACTAGATCCCTCAAATCCCTGTCTGCTGGCTTAATCATAAGACCATCCATCTATTCTCATTCCTTTCAGGATTCTGAAGCACATGGCAATAGTTCAGGCACAAAGTGCAGGTAGAGCCTGGGCATTCCTGGTGATGGCTTCTCAACTGTTTCCCAAATGTACATCAATTTCAACCTTGAAAGGTGAGAGTTTTTTGTTGGTGTTTGTTTGTTTGTTTTTGAAGTGAGACAAATGTGCTTGAGTGTGAAGAAGAGCCTTCACTGCTGGGGAGGCATTTCAGAGTTATTGATGCCAAAGGACTTCTCTATGAGGTTTAGGTATAGATAAGACACTTTCTTCTGGATTCTAATGAACCTCTCCTATCAAACTGAGCAACTTGAACCCACAGGTAAAAACAAACAGGAACCTCTATTTTTAAATAGTCACCTGGTAACAGAACTACACAGAGTATTTGAGATTTGTCCTTGACAGCAATTCCCCTGTCTGTGCAAGCAAGTCTGTGTGTGAAAGGCCATTGAGAAGTGTGGCAAGGTGTAAACATTTCCATCACAATGTCTCTTGTTTCAAAAGTGTGAATGGAAGAAGCTGAGTCCTGAGTGAGCTGCTGATGAACCTGGGAACAAGCACTACCCTCCCTCTGAGACTGGGAAGGAAATCACAACTGTAAGTCCGCCTGCTTCAATTTGCAGGCTTTCTGCAACATCTCTGTTCCTTCTTCTTGCTCTCTCATTTTCATTTTTTATTAATTACCTGGTGACAATTTTCCCAGAGGGCTGTATTTCCCATTAATTATTAGGAGAGCTACAGGGGGAAAGTTGAACTGATGGAGATGTCCCTTTGAGAACATCGAGCGAGAGGATTTTCTGTTGCCTGCATAGAAATGCATGAGTATCTTTTTGACAGTCACCTTGCACGGGGGGCTAAATGACCTATCTGGGATGCAAAATAAGTTTTGTGTTGCAGTGAAACAAGCTGAGTAAAGAAACTTTAAGTGTTGGTTTGTTGGCTCTGAAGACTAACACGCTGCTTGGTTAGAATTGATCAATGTGCTTTGTCCATGATATATTATCATGTACCATGTGTAGGAGAATTCACAGACAGAAAATAGTGTCAATAAGGACCATACTGCATTTGCATCACTGTTTTCTGTTGCTGGAAATGTAGATATGGCAAGAGAAGGAGTAATGCTGGCTGAAATCTCAGGTCCAGATGGTGACTGTCCCCAATACAGATGAATAATGAAGGTGGAGGAAGAGCATCTGCTCCTCCTCTCAGTCTGAAGCCATAGGTTTTATAATTGTATCTTTTACAGTCCCCATAGTGTAGTAAGATTCCTAGGAATTTCTTGAAAGAAATTCAGGTGTTAACACTGACTGACTCCTTGGTCTAGCATGTCTGTTTGAACACTTTTGGCATTCAATTTCTATTTGAAAGAAAGTAAGTTGATGTTTTGATGATACTGATCTGTAGACCTTCTTCTGAGGATTACTGTAAGTTACTAAACACCATTACCTAGGATATCTGGTACTTAGGTACTTCTGTGTAATCAGAATGGTGTTTTCCATCCATGAACTTACCTCCTGCAATAAGGCAGGAAGAGCCAGGATTTCCACCAGAAAATCCTGTCTAGGTTTGCTGGGAAAGGAATGGGGTGAACATAGCCCCAGAGCTGAAAGCTGGTATCTGAGCCTTAAGTTAAGGACCTTAAGTTGCATTAAAGAGTGGTAGCTGCCTTTCCATGCTAAGCCCTATTCTCCAGACAGGATGACTTTCTGCACAAGACAGCCCTGCTCCAACCTGTTACAAGCACATCCACCATTACCCCTCCTGAAGGGCTCTGTTCAGGTGTAGTGCTTTATTACACGTCAAATCCCATGCTGTTTTACAACATGGTTTCCATGGTTACCCACCACCCCCTGTAACCCATGGAGCCCGTAAAGAGACAGGATTGCAATTCACAGTGGCAGGAGCTGTCATGTGCAGAGATGGGTTAGTACCAATGAAAACCCATGGTCAGGCCCTGGCTGTGAGATTTGCAGCCCTTGGAGCTGCTCTTTGTGTTGGGAAGCATTGGGGTCGCAGGTGGGTGAAGGTGGGAGACCTTGTCATAGGTGAAGGTAATTGTCATGCTGCTCCCAACTGCCCTACTTCTTACCCTCATGTCATCAACTGACACTTACCTGCCAACTCTTGGAGTTCATTGCTTGGGAGGGACTGGCAGAAGTGACTCGGGACTGCTTGCTCAAAGTGAAAGCCAAACATTTCCAGGAATTAAGATACAAACGTGGTGTCTCATTGGATTTGGCCCAAATAGCTTTTCCTTTCCAGGATAATAGGTTGGATGCATTTCTATTTCATGTTCTGGGGTGGCTTGTTTTCATGGTAAAAGTATGTTCCGACAGATTTTTAAGGAAGGACCATGGAGCTGATTTGGATAACATGACCACTATGGAAAATGAAATTTTATGGGCATAATTATTTAACAGAACACTTCCTGGTGCTTAGCTGTCTGTCTAGTTGGACCAGACCATTCCTACAAATCAGTTACTGTCATTTGATATTTGCTTGCTGTTAACCTGCCAAATAGTTGTATGTGCAGGGATGCTATCCAAAATAGTTAAGAGAGCCTGTAAAAATAAGAGATTTGGAAGGTTTCAAGGTGAAGCAGATTAAAACCTTATTTCCCTGAGGAGAAAATCAATGTCGGTTGTAAAAACAATTTTAAAAAATCAAGCTTCCTCCACCCAAAATAAGTCATCCTAAACCATAAACGTTGTGCTTTCAGGGAACACCCTTTCCCTCCAACTATATCAGAAATTAACAATTTTGACAAGTTATTTTCCACCGGTTCCAGGTGAGGTGGATGAAGGGCCCTTGAGGTGTCAGTAGATAACAAATTGGAGATCAGTCTGAAATAGTATGTTACTGCAAATAACGTCATCTGCCTCCACGGAGGCAAAATATTCCACGGGAGGAGAACAGTCCTTTCCTACGTGGTTTGAATTCATCCTCAGAACAAACCATGTGCTTGGTCCCAGCCGCCAGCACGCGACCAGCTAATGAGACCTGGGAGGAAGCTAAAAGAAGAGTGACCAGACCACCCTTTCTGCCTTCTGATCGCTAAATGATCAGATGTTTGGAAAAACTGATTTCTGTGGGAAGCCTCAAACGGCTAAACGAGGCTGGGAGATGACAACGCGTACTTCTGTGCGCGGAAAAAAGCCTAAAAATATCTGAAGGGTGTAAACATGAAGGAGAGAGCTGCAGTATCAAAGGGACAGCACACGGTACAGGGTTCAGAGCTGGCAGCTTTCACTGCTGTTTGGATCAGCGGATGGGGGATAACTGAGAGGCAGAGCTGCCTTATCATGGCTGTATTTCACTTAAAGTTGTTGCTTTGTGGCTCGAGTTGCCGTGTCCTATTCCCTCCAAAGAAGGGCTTCGGGAGCTGTCCCACTGAAATACTGCAAACAAAGCAAAGCAACAAAATATTTTCCCCGTGCTTAATTGTGGTGACCTCCAAAACCGCGAGATGAACGGGAGCCCAGTGAGAGCAAGGGGTTTTCCCATGGGGCTGAACAACCCGCTCTCGCCTGCCAAGTGCCATTTGTCCTTGCAGTCGCTCCCGTCCTTCTCAAGTAATAAGATGCCATATGGATCATCATTACCCGACCCAAAGAAATTGTTATATATTTCCTATAGCTCTCTCTAGATATATGGTTGGATTCTCAGCTGATGGGAAGCAACGCTGATTCATAGCAGCTGAAGACAGAGCCCCTTGTGTTTTGTCTTGTCTTCTCATCTCATTGAACTTCCCAAGGATCTAAATGAATGTAGGGGAAATATGACCTTGGCTCACTGAATTGTTTTGGGGGCTAATGTGCTGAGAGATTTATGGGCAAAGAGATTTTTTTTTATTTTTTTTTTCCTTTTTCTTTAATAAAAAAATGCTTTCATTCAGCAGCTTTGATGGAAAGCCTGCGAGGACCCATGATAAGTATGTAACCGGAACAGACTCATATTAGATATCACTGTTACAAATCTATTAGTCCCACACATTAGAGCATGTGCTGGACCTGATGAGCTACACTAGTGGGAACATGAGTCATTTTCTGAAATAGATGTAGCTTGCAAATCTTTTAGACTGTTATCCAATTCCTTTTCTTTCAGTTTAATTAGGATATAAAACATGGCCTTAAGAGCTCACAAGAGTGGAAAAAACTCCATGTAAGGGATAGGGAGCCAGCTGTGAGCGTCTCCCAGCTGTTCTGCTGCTGATTCTGCTGGCTGCTGCCCACCAGGTGGTTTCATTGTGCCCTCAAGGGCCAGGTCTCTTGAAACAATGCAAGACAGGACAGAGCTACTCTTGCTCGTGAGAGGGTAATGTGCACAAAGCTGGTTGGACTTGGGCTTCCTTTGCATTCTTGCTCAGCCAAACCCTCACTGGGAGATGCAGAGTTCCCTTCCTGGCCTGCATTGCTTTGCTGGGGCACTCAGCACCTGCAGGGACTTGGCCAGCACCCAGCATCACTCCTGACGTGGGGAGGGGTCTGCAGGGTAACACAGCGACAGCAGAGAGCAGCAACGAGACAAATCAGTGGTGGTTCTTTTCCAGCCACATATGCAAAGCACCTATAATGAGCGGAGATGAGCCCCTGAGATCTGTGATGCTGCTGATGAATTAATATAAAATCAAACTGTACACTTTAAAGACAAGAGCATCCAGCCCTTCTCATAACCAATGCAGGACATGTTTCATCCAGAGCAGATCTGCTATCATTGGAGCTCTTTCTGTTCTTGAATTCATCTGTTCTGTACGTTTGAGGACTGGTGCAATTAGCATTTGGCTTTGCAGAATTCAGAACCTAATTCCTATGAATTTCCATGTCTCCCTTTTTCTTGTTTTGATTCTTGTTTGTCCGTTTGGTAGTTTGTTTGGTAACATATTTCCTGATTGAAATAAAAATAGCAGAGATGGGCATTTACTTTCTTCCTGGATAGATTCCTTTGGATAAGGATTTATTTCTTTTTTAAAGAAGGACACCTGGTTTCCTCATAAACGAGTGTTGGCAGGTTGAGGGGGGAGCGGGGAGGGAGGGGAGAAATGCATCTGTTTAGAACAAATGCAACACCATAGGAAAGCTTGATAATATGATCCAAGATTGGCCCAATTGCCTGATGCTTTAAACATATGGCACGCTCCTATATATATTATGCATGGAAACTAGCTGCATGCACATAGCAGCCGTTCTGCAATGTTTTACATACAGCCTGCCAAACCCTTAACTTCCCTGTTCTTATTCAAACACGGCTCTCAGTGAAGACAATGAGCTTTTATCTAAAAGGCTCACAGCGTTATGCACGCTCCATCCCTTCTCTATTAATTTCATCTCATCCGGATCAGGATTTTGTCCTTATGCACTGAGCCCTGACCTTCCTGCTCCCCGAGAGCTCCTGTAGATGGAAACGTGTGGGGCTGTGGCAATGGAGGAAGTGCTGCTGGGCAGGAAAATGAGCCTCATCTGCAGCAACGTCAGTGGCTCTGATGTAATGCTCATATACATCAGTGTGTTAGCTCTGGCTCTTCTGATTATGTACCCAGCGTAGTCTAGGGTGGCTAAGAGAGCTTTCCAGATCCACAGGGGCAAGGTGAGCCCTGGGATCTACTATGGTATGTGCTAAGAGCTGAAGAGAAACTGCCCTACTTTCTACCTAGCCTTTGTCTGGCTGAGCTTTCTTTATTGGGTGGGAAAACTGCTCTTCTGGCTGGAACTTTTTACATCATCTGTGCAAGGAGGATATGTACATTCATGAAACATTCCGTATTTTTTTTGTGTGTCTCAGGAAGGGCAATGAAGCCATGAGGGGTCTGGAGCACAAGTCTGAAGGGGAGAGGCTGAGTGAACTGGGGTGGTTCACTCTGGAGATGAGGATGCTCAGGAGAGATCTTGCTGCTTTCTACAACTGCCTAAAAGGAGGTTGTGGAGGGCTAGAGGTTGGACTCTTTTCACAGGTAACAGTGACAGGAGGAGAGGTAATGGATTTAAGTTGCCCCAGGGAGTGTTCAAGTTGGATAATTAGGAAACATTTATTCTCTGTAAGAGTGGTAAAGCGCTGGCGCAGGCTGCCCAGTGAGGTGTCACTGTCCTTGGAGGTTTTGAAGAACCATGTGAATGTGGCACTGAGGGACGTGGTTAGTGGGCATGGTGGAAGTGGGTTGACATTTCGACTGAATTATCTTAGAATTTTTTTCCAACCTTAACGATTCTGTGATTCTGTGATTTTTGTACTGCTGGACTGGCAAGAAGTTGGGCCGGGGAGTGCTTTTGTGTGTATGCCTTGGTTACCATCAGTGCTGTGCCTGGGTTTCACAAGGGGATACATTTTTGGAGAAGAGGGAAACATTTCCTTTTTCTCTTGAATTTTCTTGAAAGGTTGAACCAGGTGTTAATGTTACCAAGCAGCACAGTGTCATCGTGTGTTTCCTTACTATGTTGATGTTTTTGCCCTTTTCTGTGGTCTTTGTACAACTGATATTTCTAATGCCTCTTCAAGTGGTGACAATTTCAATATGCAAAGAGCAGACTTTTCTGAATCAAGAAAAGAAGGTGCTTCAAATTGTTCAGTCCAGCAGTGCCTGTAGTTATCCAGAGCTTCACTGCCAACCTGGATACCACCTGCCTGCCAAAAAGGCTTTCAGGCATCCAGAAACAATGTGGAGAGTTTTGCACAACTTCTTCTACCATTATTTCTGCAACAGAAAATTTCCAGCAGTATATCGGCTTTGACAGGTGTAATTATGCCTAACACGGTGTCAAAACTTTGCAGTTTTGCAGAACTTACTGTCAGTCTGATCCCTGTCCACCCACATCTCCATTGAGAGGGTCTGAAACTGGTCAACGCTTCTTTTCAGCTGTCGTTAGTTGGAAGCTGGCATGAATTCTAGGGATTTGATTAAAAAGAATATCCTCCTTCTTTTGTCATCTTTAACACTGAGTAAGGAAAAGTGTTTTTGCTGTCTTTGAATTTCATTTTCTCCTCTACATAAAATATTACCTAAACTTCCTGAGCTCTGTCAGGCACTAGGGGAATTCCTGTCCTCTTCTTCCCTTAAATACACTCTGTGGCCTTGCAGCAGTGACACCAAAATCCTACACAATTAGACTCTAAAGGGTGATCCAAATTCAGGTTTAATCTTGGGCAAAGAGAAGCCTTTAGATCAAAAATCCCCACTACTGTGCAAAGCAAAGGCTCTGAATACACTGCGATGCAATGATCATTAGAGAGGCAGAAGATCTAAAGTTTAACACTCACCCAGATGAGTGATGGATAAACATGGTTTTCCCCCCCAAAAAAAGAAAAAAAAAAAAGCACTTTCTCATGCTCTTTAATCCATCCAGAATTAACAACTGGGTGCTGACTGAGACACAGCTTGATTGGGAAGAGATGAAGGGACAGAGTGGAAGCTTAACACACAGCCAGCTCAAAATGAATGTGTTTAATGCTGCCTATCTCAGAAGCTTTGAAGAAAAAGCCCTCATGTCCTCAGTGGCTCTCTGCAGCAACTTTTTGGCATTGAAGTTTGCGTAAGAGAATTATGAGTTCCCATTATCACGTATGGAGATGGGATCCATTGTGCTGATTCCAGCGCTGTAGAGATTTAACATTTGCCATGCTTCCTTCTGCACATATGCTGTGATGTGTCCTTTTCAAGTCACAGCCGACTACATTGAAATCTTGACTGACACTGCTTATCTGATAGGGGCCGCTTCTTTGCTGGCTGCTCTTTAGAGTGATAAATGTCAGGAGTTTGGGAGTTTGCTTGTATCTGGGCGTTCCATCTGAAACTTTGGGCAGGTAATTATCCTGAGACCATGGGACTTTGTCATGAAATCCACTGCTGTGCTTGTATAAGGAACAAGTCAGCCAAGGGTCATGGATTCGCAGTATCCAGGAATCAGGAAGCCTCCACAAAGATAAGGAAAGAAGGATAAAATCTGAACAAAGATTTTCCCCTACTGAAAATGAAAGCAGGCCTCTTCTGACATCATAAAGTTGTCTACGCTGGTCACCTGAGAAGGCCATGAATTGGGTCTGACCCAGTGGCCTCAAGATTTGAGACTTCAGTTAACTGAGCAAAGCAACTAACCCTTGCAGGCCAGTGTCACAGCTGGAGCAATGTGATAAACCTCATATGAGAGGGAACTGAGACATAGGGCAGCCAGTGGGTGCTCAGCAGAAAACTTTCTTTCCCCATAAACTCTTAACACCTTTTTTTTTTTTTTTTTTTTTTGTCCTGGTGAAGTCTGCAGTGAGTTGGAATTGGAGGTTTCTTCTGCTCCATTCCTTCCTGGTTCTTACTTTTGCTTTTCCAGGCCTATTTGGTTCTTCTCCTCCAGCTGAAAACTGAAAATAGGGTTCACTGAAATCCATCACATTTTGACTAGAATCATTCTCAGTGCTGACGAGCTCTGACAAATTAGTGTTGGCAGTGTGGGAAGGGAGAGGGGCAGGGATCATCTTGACTCCCTTTTGCCCAGTACGGGGCTGTTCCCTCCAGTGTGTCCCACAGATTAAATAACTAAGGTCTCTGGCTAGAATTAACGTCAGTCTTCTTTTCTGGAAAAGCAGTCCAAGCCATACACCACAGGAGGAGGTGAGGAAAGTGCTTGCATTTTGGCCAGCTGTGACAGTGACCACAAGAGGCTGCCTGGATCCTGCTGATGCTGGTTGCAAAGTCTGGGATAGTAGGGCTGGGGTTGCTGTGAGGTGGCACTGAGAGGATGGAGAGGCTCTGGCAGCTTCCCCCACTGTCCTGGAGCTCACTGCAGTGTGCCATTTGGAGGCACAGGGTGAAGAAGGCTCTCTCTATGTTCACATGCTTGAGTCAGTTCATTTAGGAGCTGGAGGGTAACAATTGCTTTATCTGGTTTTCTTTTTGTTGTTGCTTGTGCCTTTGTTTGCTTCCCTCTCCTTTCCCCTTAACATACCCTTTGAGCTGTTCTTTAATTGAAGTAAACGGAGCAGCTGCTATGGTGTGTGTTGTTTTTCCCATTTTCCCCTGTGAGTCACACATTTCCTTCCTTAATGTCTCTATCTTCGTTGGTCTGTACTAATGAAGCTCCACATCTCAGCTGCTGAATGCTCAAGCTCGTCTGCCTGGAATTTTCTAACTCATTTCAATTCATTTCCCACTTTCTCCTTTCCCTCCTGCTGCCTTTCTCCTGTTCCCATTCCATAGTTCTTTCTCTTCTCTCCCTGTCTTTTCCTCTTCCTCAGTCCCTTCCTGCATGTGTCCCCAGCCACAGCTCCCCATCCCCTGCCACAACGTGCAGAGACAGGAACCATGCAGGTGAGCTCAGCCCTTGTTGTGCCTCTTTCCCTGCAGCCCCCTCCCTGCCTGCTGCCCTCTGTATTGCCCCTTTCACTCAGGTTCTTTTTTCCTGCACTGTTTTTCAGAGCAATCCAGAAAGCGCTTTCAAATCCGTGTCCCCTCCTGACCCCATCTACTCACGGTCTCTGGCAGCAGCCTGTAATGCCCTGTGCTTCAGAGAAAAGTGAGTTTGTCCTCTGCTCCTGCCCCTGCACATCAGAGATTCTCATGTTCTGCACAGGGCTCAACCCATGGCTGAAACCAGAGGTGCACAGGCCATGGGAGTGCAGGTACACAGGGTGCTGCACATCACTGAATACAAATGATGCATTTGCTGGGAGGTGCAGCATCATCACAGGTGCTGTGGTGAGGAAGGGCTCCTGCAGCTCTGGAGGAGTCCTTCCTGGGAGCTAGGAAACACCAGAAAAGTACATTGTCCCTTTTGTCTCTCTCTGCTCCACGGGGGAAGGAAATAAGGCTGTACAGTCCCACACCTGAGACTCAATGGACGAAGCTATCTCTTGGTTGTGTGTCTTGCACAGGATTCAACCCAAAGTGCATAGTCAAGAGCAAGCAATGGGGTTGGCAAATGGCAACGACTCCACTCTGCTTTGCTTTGCTTATGAGGGTTGTTCTTTTTGCAGCTCCACTTTCTCCAAGAATAGCAACGTAGGTCGTGGGAAGCAGTGTGCTGGCATGAGCTGTATGCCATGGAGGGCTGAGGCACAGGGAGGAGAAGATGTGAACCACAAGGCTCTGCCCTGAATAAAGTCAGGTATGTCCCAGAGCACCCCTCCTCAGTGCTTGCCCTTGCTGAAATGAACTCTTTTGCAGAAGTCTGCTGATCAGGGGTTACAGTACTAGTCCTTCTCTTTTTTTCATTATTATTAATTTTTGGTGGTTATTGGTGGGCATTTCCTGCCTTCATTTTAGCTCTATGCTCTGCTGATCTCTGTTGCATTTATATCCTTGCTCAGACAGAATAGAGGGAATGTTGTTTCTTTTCTTAAAAAGTTGGGTAACCGAGGAATAAGGAAGCAAGGATATAATCATAAACTTGGAGTCAGAGCATATCACCTGTAATGTGTCAGCAACCCCTTCTGGAGAAGAGCCTGTAACCAGTCAGCACTGCATTCTCAGTAGTATTCCTCAGCATTGTCAGGGAATCCAAAGAGACCTCTGAGAATGTATGATTTTGATAGAAGCCCTCACTAAAATCCCATTATCATAGCTAGATCAGTGTCCTTTCCAGCTTTCCCTTTGTCTCTTCCAACCTACAGCCATATTTTCACATACGGATAAGCAGAATTGAGTCCTTGAGATTGCAGGAATCTGACTGCAGACCTTGAGTTTTGCAGCTTAATTCCACCCTTATCACTAGACATCTGCTTCCCCCAAGAAGAAAATCAGGGTTAAAATCATTTTGGAATCACAATTGAAAAAAGAAATGCAAATCTTTTCAAGGAAGGAAAACCACCTTGCTAGAGATCAGATGGTTTACATGCCCCTGGGCGAACCAGAGGAAGAAGTCAGAGTATGAGCACTGGATGGCTGGAGGAATTTTGCTCTTGCTTTAAATTTTGTTATACTGTTCTCACTTGAAAATGCAGGTTCAAAGGAAAAAAATAACATAATGAAACAAAGCACACCAGTTCTTTCCTCTTTGGCTTCAGGGCCTCCTGTTGAGGTTCCTTCATCACCATAGAGATAATATTGCTTGTTAGACCGAAGACTAGTAGTTGGAATTCAAGTGGACAAAAAGACCTAAACAAACCCATTATAAATCCCCAATTACTTTCAAACTGTCAGGCTTATTAAAAAATGTAAATATCCTTCTCATTCTTGCAGAGAGTGTATAAAAATGCATGAGGCTAAAAGTCAGCTGAGCTGAAAGGAGCCGATTTGTGAAATAACTTTGCTGAGAAAATGGCAGTTGTTGTTCTTGGAGGGCAGAAGGAGGACAACGTACACCTGCTTGAGCCACCGATTCCACCCAACTCTTGGCACACTACTGGTGCTACCCTGCTCTACTGGCTTAATATATCTTTTTAGATAGTTTAATACATCTTTTTAGGTGATGCTCACCTCTTTGCAAGAGATAAGGAATTTCTACCAGAGGATAAGAGTCATAGCTCAAATACAAGCCCTACGCTTTTTGGTATTTTATTACTCGCTTTGGTTGAACCTTTATTTTCTTGGTGTGTTTCTTCTGCTTTCTCCTCTCTTCACTCTTCTGAAAATAGAAAGGAGATTTCTTTTGTTTTCAAATTTGGCCTTTCTCCATCTGCAGAGGTTCTTCTCTTTAATCCAATACAGTAATACCCTGTTTCTCACCCTGATCTACTCCTGAGTTCAGTAATGACTTGCCCAGATGCTGAGATGTTCCACTCTCTAGCTGATGCTAGCCCAGTAAGATAGTGAGGTCATTTCTGGAGGGAAGTAGAGTACCCTCAATTTTCATTAACATGAATTCTACTGAGGACCTTCTTCCCCATTCTGTCCCTTCTACAGCAACCAAGGATGAGCAGTCGGGCACTAGAACAGGCTCCCCAGGGAAGTGATCACTGAGTTTGATGGAGTTCAAGAAGCATTTGGGTAATGCTCTTAGATATATGATCTGAACTTTGTGTGCTCCTGTGTGGAGTTGGAAGTTGGATTCAGTGGTCTAAATTGGTCCCTTCCTATTTGGAATATCCTATGATTCTATGGAGGACAGTCCTCAGGAGGAAAATTATCTCTAGAGCTTTCCTTTTTTGTTGCTAACTTTGTAGATATCAGGTCATGCACTTGAGATGACAGGGTGCTCAAGAACAAGATAGCTCTGGCCTGCAAAAGGCTTATCTTCTAATAAAAAGTCAGAAAGAGCATGTGAAAGATGCAGTGGTCCAACACACCAGCAACTTCCCTGTCATGTCCAGATTTAGTTGGCATCATATTGAAGGAGAAAACAAGAAAAGATTTGTAGGTGGAATAATAAATTGGGCTGGTAGAGAGCTTCTCATGTGCAGAAGGTAGCAAGGAGAAAGCATGGATGTGTTTGTGTGGAAGAAGAATGCTGGATTGTGCTGGATCTTGGTATGTACTGCTGCACTGATGCAGCACTGGTGGCCAGGGAAGTGGAAGGAAGGGTGGGCCTTCAAAGGAAGACGAGGAATTTAAATGCTCAATTACAGCATTGCTACATGTATAGCAGCACATGATGTGGGATTGCTGTATTTTATCCAATTACCCATGTGTAACTCAGAGGTATTTACAAAAAGAGAGGAAACTGTTAGCTGTTCGACTAAGGAAGGAAAACTGAAGCAATAATCTAAAAAAAAACCCATAGTTGCTGTTCATCTCAGTCACCAGCAAGGACTGCTTTAAAATTCTGCTATCCTAAAATCTTACTAGAAAATTCACAGAGACAGCTGAATTTGGCACTTCTGTTAGAAAAAAAACAGGGTAATCCTTTTTTTTCCCATCCATTTGCAGATGCTTTGGCACTACTCATATTTCTGTCTGGATGCTTTCAAGAATCCAGTATTTTAGTTTTAGAACATCTGAAGGAACCCCCAGAGCCTTGGCAGCAGCACTTTCCCAGAACTCCTATTTGAAGCATGAGCACGCTGGAAGGCACAGAGGTGAAATGCAACCTTCCTGTGCACTTCTGCTCCACACCACCTTCATTTCAGCAATCAGTCTGAGATGGAGGAATCTGCAATACCCCAGTGATTGTCCTCCCATCTGGTAATCCTGCAGGGATTGCCATGGTCAGAATAGCTGAGATGTTTTCTGCCTTGAGATTTTAGATGATGGATTTTCAGAGTGAAAGGACAAGAGCTGACTCCATATTAATGCCGAACTTTAAATGTTTTGACTATACAACTGAAACACCATTACCTATTCCCCACAGAGCTCCACTCTTTCTTTCTCTCTCCTCCACTTCTCCTCTCCACACTGTAGCCTTTTGTATGTCTCAGGCATTAATCCCTCGCTGCCGGGGTGTGTAAATTAAAGAATAATAGAGCTGCAGAGGCATAAGCTTGCAATGATGGGGAATGTGTTTGTCTGCTAAGAAGCAATTTCAGCGAAAATTAACTCAATTTCATCTGAAATAGTGAAGACCGGCATAAGCTGGCAGATCCCCGAGGATGGTAAAATTACTTCGTCAAAGCTCTGCTTGCTTAAATTAACCAAGCAAGCACTCCAGGTTATTGGCAAGATGCAGCTAGTAACTAGGTTTTAATAAACAAAAATAGCTTTTTGGATAAATAAGGAAAGTGCAAAGTGTCTTATGTATTCTGTTGATGTTTTCATCTGTATGACCTCAACAACAAGACCTTCACATTCCTGCAGGCGCATTCTTTGATTCCCTGTGTCCAAGTGGTCTCTCTTCTGAGTCTCAGCAAACAACCTGCAAGTGCTTCTGGAGATGATTTAAGATTAACTTCTATTCCAGCATCTAACAGACTGTTTGCAATACCTAGGTGAGATAACAGCAACACCTTTTAGGGTTATTTCTGTGTTTTTCAAAGTTGGAAGATGACTATTCTTGATTTAAATTGTTTCACCTCAAAATATAATGCAGTGTCAGGACAAGAGTCTACACTGTCACTGATACAGCAGATTCCCCAGCTGAATACATTGCTGCCAATGGGCAAGTCAGGATGTGAGCTCCCTCCTCCTGCTAGGAGTCAAGGTTGAGGGAAGTGAAAATTTCATTGTCAGAAAGATTGACTCAAGGAGCAGCTCAGAGAGCTTGTTCATCACTTGAGAATGAGCTGTAAGTTCTTTTGGTGTTTGGTTTTTTGTTTTTGTTTGTTTGTTTGGTTTGGTTGTTTTTTTTGCTATGAATAGCTTTTCTCAAGACTGTGTTTTACGGAAGCATTGTGCTGTTGGACGTTATGATCACTAGGAGGGGTCTTCTGTAAAATGCATGTTGGGCTTATTGCTCCGCCTCGAGTCTACAAGCATCAGGACAGATTTTTTTTTTTTTTCTGGATTCTGTTCCTCTCAGTACAGTGATGTTTTGGGAATAGTGTTCATCAGAAATACTACTACCAGAAATATCCAACCCCAAAGCAGGAGGGTTGGAACAGGATGATCTTTGAGGTCCCTTCCAACCCAAGCCATTCTGTGATTCTATATAATTCTATGATTCTATGATCATGTAATTGCTTAGGAGTGTAAAAGGCTTAAAAACCTATTTGTTGGAAACAAATATGAAGAATCTCTTCAGAACTGCAAAAATACATCACTGTTTTGACTCTCTTATGCTCCTGTCCCTCCATCAATATTCCAAGAGCACTTGGTATTTAAAAGCTACCCTTTGTATGAATGTAGAATCACAGAATCAGAATGGCTAATGTTGGAAGGGACCTCGAAGACTATTTGGTTCCAGCACCCCTGCCATGGGCAGGGTTACCACCCACTGGGTCAGTCTGCCCAGGATAGATTTTCCATAATATTCTAACCAATAGGTGATTACTGTCAGTGGGTGATATGTCTGTTCTTGGCCACAGGCCCCCACTGAATGGGATCATTAATGGTTGGTAGAAAGAAAAGAGAGCTGCAGAACTGTCAGACCAGCCAAACCAGAGGATGAGATGAGACCCAAGCATACGTGATTTATCCCCTCCCCACTCTGGCTACTTATTTCCCCACTCCCTTCCTACCATAAATCTCAGTATCTGCAGAAGGGAAAGCAGCTGTCTACAAGATTTGCTGAGCCATCCACTCATTAAAATGTTCCACTGGCAAATAAATACTTTCTCTTGCTGTTGCATAT